AAAGAATATGATATAGCAGAGGCCTGACCTTCCTTGAAATTCACTTATGATCTGTGACGAAAGGGTACTCATGGCAATGTAGCCGAGTGGTTAGCGTGTCAAGCTACCGTCCTGCACTGTCGCGATGCGAGGTTGAAGCTGCAGTCCACTGGTGCCTGGATGAGAACAACTTTTGGGAAAGCAAGGCTATGTGAAATTCAAGGAAAAACGTCAGCTCAACTCATCATTGTGGGAAAATTCTACTACCAGTCCTTCATCGCCTAATACGAAATAGGCTGAATAGATATCACAACTGTTTGCCTAAAGGATCGGCTTCACTTGTCTCTTTGACGAGTCGTTGTATGGTGCTACGAATTGTGAAACTCACTGACGATGCCGACTACAACGCCGGCGAAACGTCCACAGTCCAACTTTGGAAATGATGATGCATACAATGGACTCCGGACTAGGTGAGTTCCTCTAAGTCTTCCTACCAACATGACCACGTTGCGAAAAAAAGGTCAAACAACTTCTATACAACGAAAGGAGACTGAAACCACACAAAGGCTACACCATCTTGGTCTTCATATCTTCGATCGAATTCTTATTGTTCGCTGTACTCTCACTTCAAGTGAAAGTGTTTGGCGAAGAGATTCCATAGTTGATCCCACCAGAAGACGATAGCAGCTTCCGCTTGACCAGCTGTCAACCTGTTTTACTGCAACATTCTTGTTGACATCATTTCACAGGCAGTCTCCTTCAATTCCTATGTAGACGTTTTCCAAAACAGCGTCACCAAGAATGTTCCACTGAAGCCAATCGACAGCTGGTTGTCTTTTTCTGGAGGTATCCACCTCGGAATCTTTCATCAGACACTTTCACTCGGAATGGAAGTATGCTCAAGGAATTCGTCGAGACCCAAATTTTATCCGTAGCAATTCTTATTCACGAATTACTCACAATTGCCATAGATACCAAAAGCAGATTTTGAAAATTCCCCATCCAAAAATAGATTTAAATTTGTACTTACCTGTCCTCTTTTTGTCTTTTCATTCCGACCGCCCTCTTACCTTCAACACGCCGCCAGCTGCTCTCTGTCCGACCGCTGCTGACCTCTGACCTCTGACCTCGTTGGGAGTTCGGCTATTCGGAGAGTGCCGTAACTTCTCGATGTGGCCTCAAGCCGTTGCCGCCTACATGGATCGACGTTCATTGGCTTCTTCAGCTCCTTTCGGGCCCTATTGCCTCAATGGGATTGACTTTCACAGTACCGATCCCTCCTATTACATGTCGTCTTCCCTCTCCTCCTCTTCTTCATCCGATCCGCAAGACCAAGTGCCGTCGAGTCCCAGGCTTCCGGTAGGCCCGCTCGGACTTCGTGAACTGCCCGCCGCCTTGCCCTTGAGCATGTGGTCGTCCACGCCAGACGCCGCGTCCTCCGCGGCCTCGCCGAACGGACTCTGTTCGCCACAACGTCGCGACGTTGAATCCAGCTGGTGCCTGACACGAGGATCTCGAGTTGACGCCGACCAATCGTCGCCGCCTACTTCCGCCAGCCCCTCAAGCGACTGCACAACCGCGACAATTGGTCCACTCTTCTCTGCCTCCTCAAGGGTCCTGGCCTCACTTTTTCCCAGTTTGCCCTCACATACCCCCAAGGGTCAACCCTCCCTGACGCCAAATGTACCCCTTTCGGCCTGGTGGAACACGAGGCCTCTGCAGCCGGGCATGCAACCAATGGACCCTTCGACAGTTGACTCCCTTTCGGCAAAGGATGTCCTCAAGAAGGAGTCATCATTTCTGGACACCATTCAGACCTCACGGGAGGAGCGTCTGCCAACTACTGCCTACTGGCAGGAGG